TTCGCCTCACATTTTCGCAACAGTATATTATATATTAATATACGTTCTTTGACATTGTATGTTATATATTTATTAATACACGTTCTTTGACATTGTCTTAGCTCATTTAAAATTCGTTAAAAAAGTCCATACTGGCAACCTTGTATAACAGCGAGCAATCAGCTGAGTCTTTTTTATGGGAAAAACCAGAGAACGTATATCAGAGAACGTAAATACAACGAGAAGGTTCAATCAGAGAACGTGAATACGTTCTTTGTGTCTGTGAAATCCGAACCAAAGAACGTTTATTAATAAGAAGGGAAAAGAACTGTGAATTGATTATTGAAGTGGTCCAGCAGTGCAAGTTTGTAACTTTTATCGACACGATTTGTCGGATCGCAAAATTGCGAATTTTGTCGCTTGCGCTAACGATTATGCGATTCTCCAACGCAGTTGTTACGATAATCGACATCGCACATTTCCATTTTATTAAAATGTAGGAAAGGTGGCACCACAGCGTAACGAAACGTCAAAAAGTACGAAAAGCACAAAGAGGAATGACAAAAACAAATAAATTTGTTATTGAAATTATTTTATTAAATGAATAGCAATGTATTACAAAGTTTTTCAAAAGCATGTTATGGTTTGCACTTTCATGCATGACTCTTCGCTCTATAGAGGAGCTCATATAAAATAATTGTGCCGCGCTCTTGGGTTCTTGGCATTTGCCAAAATAATCTTGCGATATCTATGTGAAAATATAATTAACTTTCTTACTACAATAGTAACTAGAAACAAATTTACTCTCATCATTTGCACATTGATGGAATGGTATCCATGGTGGTTTACATACGCTTCTTCATGATTTTTGAGACTCATGATTGACACATGAGTGCAATCGATAGCTCCAATAGTGCCTCCAACAAATGGTGACGATGACGAAGGAAAAATTTCTTTGCAGCTTGCCGCTCTATCTGCGTCATTGGAAATCCAACAGAAAACATCGAACGGTTGATTGCGTCTGTTACGCGATGAATGCAACGGCTTACTGACGATTGACTCATGGATATCCCCCATTGCTCTCCGACGGGACGTTGATAGCATCCAGTTGCAAAAAATCGCAAGGCGGTTAGAACCTTTAAACGTTTTAAAAGTGTTAAGACTAAAAAAAACATTGAAAAAATATATTATTACCTGTTTCTCCGTAGACAATGCTGTTATTCTTCTTCCTTTAATTGACAATCTGGTTGAGAAACGATTTCTTCAACTAAATCCGGCGTTAATCTATATAGCTGCCGAAACTCGGTAGCATCCAAATGAAAAGGATCTTCCGCTTCTCGACGCACACTTCCATCCCATGATGAAGGATAGGATACTTCTTCATCTTGTGGTAAATCGTATTCCAAATATTCAAAAGCCATTTATTTTATTTTTATTTTTGTATAACTTAGACGATTTCCCGGACACTTTACTCTCTTATATGAATTAACAAATTTTGTCGTTATCGCTAACAACTTAAAAATATTCGTCGCTTAGTTAACGATTTTTCGAGTAGTTTACGACAACAGCGAGAGCGAATATCGTTAAAACAAGTACACCGAATATTAAAATCGTTAGAATTATTGCTAAGTCTTCTTTGCGATCCGGAAATCGTTATACTATGCTTAGTGAATAGCAAAATCGTTAAAATTATCGTTAAGTCATTATAACGATCCAAAAACCGTTATAATACGATAGAGAATTCCCCTACAGGTTTCACAGACGGAATGAGTCCGCTTTGAAACTTCTTTCGCAAATTAAGTTCACCTCGAAGGGGTAGTCTTCTTATGTTTTCTCGGCATTTTTACGGCGACAATTATAACAAAAATGACAAAGTAGGCAAATGATCCGAATTTACTTTAAAGTTATTTCAAATTATTTTAAATAATTTTGCTTCTATATTTATTTGATGAAATAAATTAATTTTCATAATGAAATGAAATAGGGTGAAATCATAAACTTCATTATTGTATTGCAAGGGACGATTTGCCGGCGGCATTTCGCAATAGCGTTGTTTTATATGGAAGGTTATTTATTCATGAATTGTATTTTTACAAATTAATTATATGTTTGTATACACAATACAAAATAATAACCTGCCTCAAGAATTACATGCATATATGCATTGATATGTACATATGTATATCTATATTGATATACTCATATGCAAAAACATACACGCACATTATTTGTGTGAAAACAAATTACTCCATCCCTCTATATACTTCTCTTGTCTAAAAGCTCATAACTGAAATCAAATACAACAATAAGATTTTCATTCATAGACGCCGGCGCCCTACAACAAAGTTGCTTCTTCGCTGCGTTGACAAAAATCGAAAAAAAAATCGGAAGCAAATATGGTCGCGGAAAGTGAGGAAACAACAACATACATTAGTATGCCCTTCTTCCTTCAACCCGTAACATTCATGTATTGTCCACAAGCATTTCTTCAAATTCTTGCCACTGACAAAAAAATCAATCATCGTCTGCAGAAATGTAACAAATCGACATCGTGCTAAAAATATTTCTAAAATATTCTAAACATTCCAGAAGATTCTAGAATATTTGATTTCAGTGAAGAAAAGTAGAGAAAGCATAAAAGCAACAAAACCAAGTACTGCATGCAAACCCTCTTTCCTTCAACTCTTCATCAACAACCAGTTCCATGAAATCGAAGTCAAATTTTGCAAAAATCCAGAAATTGAAGTTGAGCAAAATCAAAAACCCATACATTGAAAGCTTCATATACATGTAGAAATTACAAATACACACAAAGTATTGTGAGATCCCTTTCCCCTGGCTCATTCCACCAACAAGCCGTTTCGGTCAGAAATTTTGTCAAAAGTCAAAAATTGATGTTGAGCTTGCGACAAAGTGAAAACCCATACACTCAAGCAATTTAATATGTATACGTTAAACGCACACAATCTTAATAGCTCGCATGCCCTTCCTTCTTTCACCCCGTCATCAACAAACCTCTTCTTCGCGACGATGACAAAATTTCAGAAAAATCAAAATTCAAGTTGGTCTGAAGTTGAAGACAAATAAATTCAAAGAGGCGAATGTGTACACGAAAAACAAACACATGCACAAAAACTTGCAAATTCTCTTCCCTTGTACCCCGTCAGCCACGAACGACTTTTTCGGGGCGATGGCAAAATTTGAAAAATCAGAAGTTCAAATTGAGCTGAAGTCAAAAACAAACACATTCAAAGGTGTCTATATGTATATGAAAGACCCATGCTTTCATGAAACCATGAAAAATACAACATTTTCATTCATAAACGGATGCGCGCTGCAACAAAGCAATGTGTTCATTCATAAATACCACTGCTCACATGGCTCCGCTTACCCGTCTCAACAATTGCTTCCTCGGGATGACCACAAAATCAAACATGTACGGAAGACTAAATTCGAGTGGAAGCGAGATATTTGGCTGATATTTATATGTTTAAAACATCTCAGTCCTTACTCGAGCTATCATGTAATAAGACGGAGGGACAGACATTACTAAATCGATTTACCTCACCATTCCATGAAGTTTTTTACATTGAGTTTATTCGATTATTCTAAACCGTTAGTAGAACAAACCCCATGTACTCTGTTTAAATAGTGCAGTCGGTTATAAAAAATCCCGTAACAAAAATTAGCAAATCGTCCATCTCTCCGAAATGTGAAGCAACAACAATATACAACATTGGTATGTGGCATACACTAGCATTGCGTCAAATTCTTCTGACTTTCACAAAAACTCAAACTTTATCCGCCGAATTGAAGCAAGTCGGCATCTTTCTGTTATATTTGCTGTTTGCCTATGAGCTCATAATGGGAAGCAAGTAAATTTAAGCAATCCGTCCGTCATATAAACTGGTCCAAATTTTAGGGATGAAGTGCGAATCCCAAGCTAAGGCCAAAGAGGAAAGTAGAGGCGTACTCGGGGACACAAAGAAAAAAAAGACGGATCAAACGATTTCTGCCAATTAAATCGGCTCATTTTTGTTTTGGTACGAAATTTCGTTTCGCCGTCATAATTGCCCCGCTGTGCTACGAAAATCCCGAGAAATTTGAAGGAAGGTGTAATCTGACTGTGGCACCTCACTATTCACCTCAACAAAATTTTTCAAATTGGTTCACAGTTCTTTTCGATTCTACCTTCCGATTGAATTATGATTAGGGGCTTAACCGGGGTTGGTGAAAACAACCTTAAGCATTATTTTACTCAGTATTCTGGCAACACCATAACCTTAAAATAGAATTATTAAAAAAGTTTGCTAGTTTTAGGTTACTTCTCCCTCCCATGCAAAATTTATCTACGAAAGCCTTCGGCTGAAAATGAAAATATTCCCCAAATCACACATATGCAAAAATAAATTTGTATTTAGATGTTTAATCAAGTAAAATAAAAATGCATACACAAGTGAAAACATTAATTTCCTTCATACAAAATGTTTTTTTTTTTTTAATTTCCGTTGCATTGTCAAAAACTGACCCAAACTTATGGCTCTTCCCATATGTCCTCCCAGCTGCAAACGATCAAATTCATCATCATACCAATTCAGACAATTTGAATTTTTTTTTGTTTTCACTGTCTGCTTCATTTCTCCACAAGAAATATTTGTTTTTGACTTTGTATTACCGTTTGCCGCACGTCCCAACAACTGACAAGCACTTTTTCTCTGAAGTTGTTCCCAGTCCAAACGATCAAATTCATCATCATCAGACCAATACAGACAATTTGAATTTTTTTCTTCTCCATAAGAAATATTTTTATTTGCCGCACATCTTAATGACAGATCAGAACCTATGGTTTTTTTCATCTTAATCACAATTTCACCAACAGACCATTCCAGAATATTTGATTTCTTTACTTTCCTTGCGTCCATCATTTTTCCACTGGAAGTATTTACTTTTGACGTTGTATTAAGCTTTCCCGAACATCTCAGCGACTGGCCCACACTTATGGCTCTTTCCAGAAGTCCTTCCTGCCTCAAACGATCAAATGCGAAAATTTGGTGTGTCCACATCTCATTATTTTTATCGGTAATATTATAAACAATCACAAAACACGTAGCAATCATTAATAGATTTTCAATATTATTTATACATAAATTGGAGTAAGCGCTTTTTTGCAGCAGATTTGCTATGACCCAAGTTTTTTGTTTTCGATCGAATGGTGTTATGCTTTTTAGCGCCTCAACAGAATCCTTCAACTCAACAAGTTTAGTCAGCCTATTAAAAAGTGTTTCATCTTTAACTTTCAATATCTTTTTGGCTTTAGTAAACCAAAGCCACAAACCAGTCCCGCATTCCGCAAATCTTCTATAGCAGGCTGCATCTTGTATTTTAATAAGTTCATGCTGCAAATTCATAGGTAACACTCGACTGATTTGTAATCGCCGCTGCGTCATTCTGCAAATAAGCTCCTTAGTAAACTGTTCGCTGTAATTGAAAATAACCTTGAACTCCTTAAAAAGTGTCTTGCCAGGCAACGGTGTTATTGGCCACGAGCTTTCTCCAGTTGAAAAATGTGTTCGCAAAAGTTCTCTTATACTTGTAAAGTCACAATTTACATCCGTTGCGGCAGCAACAGACTGACTCCATAGGTAGAGACTAATTAGTCCTAAATAATTACTCAAGACAGCAATATTTCCACGAATCAATTCAGAATAACACCAAGCCTGCCATTTATTTGCTGACTTTTTAAAACTGTGATCATTTTTATATTCCGGCACCGTTGTTGTTGCGTCATTCCAAGGCAACTGAATCTCCGAGTCCACTGCTTTCCTCTCATCTTCATTGGCGAGTAGATAAACAGGACGATTTTTACGGTTGATACTTAGGCCAAGTAAAAGTATTTGTAATATGCTTTTTAGCGCCTCAACAGAATCCTTCAACTCAACAAGTTTAGTCAGCCTATTAAAAAGTGTTTCATCTCCAACTTTCAATATCTTTTTGGCTTTAGTAAACCAAAGCCACAAACCAGCCCCGCGTTCCTCAAATCTTCTATAGCAAGCTGCATCTTGTATTTCAATAAGTTCACGCCGCAAATTCTTAGGTAATACTTGCCTGATTTGTAATCGTCGTTGTACCAATCTGCATATCAGCTCCTTAGCAAACTGTGTATTGCAATTAAAAATTTCTGAGAACTTTTGAAAAAGTGCCTCGCTAGGCCATGCAGGTATTGGCCATCTGACTTCCAAATTTTCTAAAACGCGTTTGAAGTTATATCTCACATCGTTTGCGGGGGCAACAGCCAAACGGCAGAAGAAAAGACTTATACGTCCTAAATAATTACTTACATCAGCAATATTTCCGCGACTCAATTCATAATAACACCAATATCGCCAGTTATATGATCGGTTCTCCCTATTATTGAACGGCACCATTGTATAAGCGTCATTCCACGGCAGCTGAATCTCCGAGTCCACTGCTTTCCTCTCATCTTCATTGGCGAGTATATAAACAGGAAGATTGTTATGGTTGATACTTAGGCCAAGTAAAAGTATTTGTAATGTATTTCTCCAATCGCTCAGCTCTCCACTTTGATGCACGTAATGGTAGATGAAAAATTCTGAAGCTTTTTGTAGTTCATTGTTCGTTGGACGCTTATAACGCGGCAGTGGCAACCAATAAAGTTGCACAAACAAATTATCGGTCCATTCCGAAAATTTTGATTTCTCTTTTGTTGTCACTACCTGGTGTGTTTCTCCAATACAATTATTAGTTTTTGGCTTTATATTCAACTTTACCTCACGTCTCAACGACTGGCCAACACTTATGGCTCTTTCCAGAAGTCCTTCCTGCTTCAAACGATCAAATTCAAAACATCTGTTTGTCCATATCTTATTATTTTTATCGGTAATATTATAATAAACTACCATAAAAATTGCAATCGCTAATAGATTTTCAATTTTTTTCACACCTAAATTAGAGTAATATTCATTTCGCAGCAGGCTTGCTATGGGCCAGGTTTGTTGCTTTAGATCGAATGGTGTTATGCCAGCAACAGTCAGCATTTCCAAAAGCGTTTCACCTGAAACATTCAATCTTCCTTTGGCCCTACAAAACCAATGCCACATACCATCTCCATGTTCCTCAAATCGTTTATAGAAAGCTACATTTTGTATTACAATAATGGCACTCTCAAACTTCATGGGCAACTCTTGCTTGATTTGTAATCGCCGCTGCGCCACTCTGCAAATAAGCTGCTTAGCGAACTGTTCGCTGTAATTGAAAATAACCTTGAACGCCTTAAAAAGTGTCTTGCCAGGCAACGGTGTTCTTGGCCACGAGCTTTCTCCAGTTGAAAAATGTGTTTGCAAAAGTACTATTATACCTGTAAAGTCACAACTTACATCCGTTGCGGCAGCAACAGACTGACTGCATAGGTAGAGACTAATTAGTCCTAAATAATTACTCACGACAGCAATATTTCCACGAATCAATTCAGAATANAGATGTAATTTATATACGTATTTATGTATTATTAGGTACAATGCGGTATAAGTATTTTGTATGAAAATTGATGATTTTTAATCACCCTCACGAAATAGAGTTTCACACCTAGTTATCTTCTCAATAATATTTATATGTAATATATAGAAGACGGGAATCCCCTAATTAAAATCGCTAAAGTTGAAATAATCGAAAGTGACAAATGAACGAGATCAAAAGAAATACGCGATGAGTACATTTTAAAAATAAGGGCTGCCACACATACTGTTAATGGTATTGTTACGAGTTTTCTTAAATATGCTTCGATAATTTCCCAAATTCTTCGAGCTCGATCACGGGATTGTTAAATAAAAGTTACACACGTGTTGTACAATTTCTTAGTTTTAAAGAATTTAATCAACGTTTATTTATTAATCAATAAATCGAAATTTACTTTACGATATACAACTATCTATTTGACAACTTTCACACCGTACCATTTGCACTTTGTAGGGATGTTTGAACGAACGAATTTACTATGTAACTGTCTCCCCACTGTCTTGGCCACTCTGTTTAATACCTCAGCGATTGCTCATACTCAGTTCTAATGCTTTCTGAAATGTTCTTAGCGTAAGAACATGCCGAAAATTTTCTAATTGTTGTTATCTGCCAATGCAAGTACGCATACGTATTAAGAGAGAAACTTCAAGAGAGAATTTTTGTCAAATTAATTTCATAATTAACATTTTCGAATATAAGCGCTGATCACATATCTGATGATGCATAAATAGTTAACCACGCATTCATCTTCATTTCTTTAAAAAAAAAAAAAACAGCACATTGTCTTAGCTCATTTGAAATTCGTTAAAAAGTCCATACTGGCAACCTTGTATAACAGCAAACAATCAGCTGAGTCTGTTTCGGCTGGTAAGTGAAATGGGTAGTTGCAGCCTTACATAGCGTTCTCATACGAGAGAACAGCTGAGTTGTTAGATTTTGACTAAATGAAGCATAAGTCCTTACAACTTTATAAATAAATAAAAAAATTGCAAAACTTTTTCTCTTTAAATATTTACTATATATGTATATTTCCGCAAATAAAACAAAAATAACGCAACAAATCTATGTAAATCAGTTATATTGAGTCTTAACAGTACACTTTTCATACATATGCGCATACATTCTATTAAGAACTAGTATGGTACTTAGTACTATCTATAAAAACGCATTTTTTATTTGTTGACTCTCTTTTAAGTTTGTTGTTGCTTTTGCTGTCTATTGTTTTTAATTATTTCGTTTTCAGTGTAACTTTTTTCAGTTTCTATATCTCTGCGATTTACTATTAATATAATAATTTCTCAATACTTCATACTCTTCATTAGTGTTGTTTTATTTATTTTCGACTTTTAGTAAATGACATTGCAAGGTAACATTTGAAAATTTTGTAAAGTATGTAAGATAATATTTATCTGTTAAATGTTTTCTACAAAACGCCGCACTATGAGTAATATTTCGTAAATTTGATATTTGTATGTATTTATAATAATATTATTGTATGAAGAATTAAATAACGAAGTTACGAAATTTATTAAGGTGTATCTTTACTCTACGTAAATATAGTTTTTTGTTTTGTATTTAGTTTCGTTTAATTGTTTAACTTGGCAACTGTATTTTGAGTCCAAGGTGAATTCGCTTATGTGATGCCTAAAGTGGATCATTTCCATTTTTCTTAATTGAATTTTTTTAAATAAACCTTGTATTTACTCTCATTCACTTTTTGTCTAAATATACATACAATCCAATATATTCGAATTAAATATGCATTTCAGAAATAAATAAATTAATTGAGCAATGCCTTACATATTCATTATTTAAGTCTATCAGCCTATTTGTCACTTTATTAATTAAACTTCTGCGATTTGTTCATTTCGGAAAACTTCCTATGCGTACCTCTGCGTTAGGGTTAATCGCACGTAATCAGTACCAGCGCTCACTGGTAGTTCTGTGCTATGAGCTTGTTTTTGTTATTATCATTCCATTTACTTTTTTAATCTACTAATCTACAATTTTTATATTAAAATAACATTAACATTTCTATGATTTAACAATTATTCATATGCTATTTTCTGAGTCATTTATTTAATTTCTTACTTTTTTATTATTATTAAAGATTCCAGTTTTTCTTACCCAAATTCATGCATACATTTGTAATATATATTTTTTTCTCAAAATATATTTTTTGACAACAACATTTTCGTAAGTTTAATCTAAATATCAGTTCATTTGTTTGTATGAAATTCACTACAAGTTACATTCATTACTAAAGAATAATGTGAATGCGCTGACACAAAAGGAGCTGAAACTATGAAAGAAAAGATTAGGCTTACGTGTAGGGTGTAAATCAGCAGATGTAGGAAACAATATTTGTATATATACACATATTTTATAATGTTATTGCAATTTCACTTGGTTTAAAAAAGGAACTCTAAAAAGTTTCATTTCACTTAACGTAACTATGAACAGCGAAAATATTTTTTCTGGCTACTATTAAAATGCTTAGGCAGCGAAATAAATTTTTTAAATCTGCCTTAGCGTAGAGATTGCGAGAGCATTTTTATTAATTTAAGTTTTTTTTTTTTTGAACGCATTTTATTTGATTTCCTAACTTTGGAAGTGAAAATTGACGAAAATGGCAACGTCGAATTTGTGAGTATGCTTTAAGCTTTTGTGAATGCCTACGCAGAAAGGGTTATCCATTTCGTGGTTTCATAAATACAGTGCCGTATATTGACATCTGTCAAACTCAAAATGTTTAGTTTATGCTTTGTTTTAGTTAAAATTCAGGCAGTTATGAAAATGATACATTTCTACGAAAATTGTGATTCCAATGTGACCACGTTTCATGCTTTAAGAGGAGAGTACATAATAAACCAGCTACTCAAAGGATTTGTAAAAATTTTACTCAAATTTAAAAGATTAGAGCGATTACAAATATTGTAGGGACTGTGTATCATCGTTTTGCTCGTTCCACCTGGAATATCGCTTCAGTAAGTGAGAAGACTCCAATGTGTATATTTCTCGACATTTTCAAGAGCTTACACCTGCATACTCGTACATACATCTCATACAACAACTGAAGCCAGCTGATCATTCACAACGTAGTAGATACGTGGATTAGGTGCTTGAACAACAACCAGTGAAGCTCGATTTTTCGAACAAAATTTTCTTCAGCGACGCGGCATATTTCTCACTCGGGGGCTATGTAAATAAGCATAATTATAGCATGTGGAACTCCGAGAATCTTCAAAACGAAATGACACCAAAAATAAAAATTCAAAAAATGCGAAAAGCCGTGTTTTTGCGAAAAAACTTTTAACTCTTGAGCACTTGAAAACCAACATTCGTTAAGTTATAACTGAGATACCGCTCAATATGTACCAAACAGTGGTATAAAAATAACCTCAAACGTATGAAACTTTGCAAAAATGCTCGAAAACAAAAAAAAAAAATATTTGAATTACATTTTATTTATGTTTATTTTCTTTAACCGCAAAAAGGATAACCTTGTATATGTTCTACTGTTATTACCTTCATACCCAATCTTGTTCTCACAAATTATACAAAGTTTTCAATAGTTCTAAAATTTAAAGCTTAAAAAAAAATTCGAACTTTGAGGGAATTGTGAAAGCTCTTAAAAATATCTCCGAATTTCACAAATTCCGCATTAATTTCGAAATGGCTACAATTTAATTTTTTTTAGTTCTTTTTATTGTTTTCATAACATGTTTTTAAAGCTTTAAAGCTCACACTGTTACCCATGATACAATAATTTAAAGGTGTTTCATTCTCTCTTCGCGGTTGACTTCATAATTAACTGACATTAAACGTGTTTCGATTTTTTCGTGCTGTACTCTTCTCCTAAAAAAAACCTACCATTTTTAAATAAAAAATATGAGGAATATTTTTATATTTTTTGAAATGTTCAAATATTCAAAAATCACGTATTTTCCAACCCTTGATAGTGGTCTGCATCGAGGGTATGCCTTTCATGATTGTTGTATTCCAACTTTAGTAAATTGTAAGAAAGTACAAGAAAGGGAAAAGATTCGCCCACAAATATTTAAATCGACTTCAAGAAGATGAGGAGCTGGCTGGATTTGCTGTATTAACGTTTGAATGGAAATTGGGCTCACAGTTCTAGAGACGTTTCAAGGAAATTTTGTAAGCAAACAGGTTATCGTTTTGTTGTTGATTTTTTAGAGCTGTGAAAATTCATTATAAAAATCTTATAATTACGCTTGAAGTTAATAAAATTTCCAAACACTTTTGAATTCAAATTAATTGCCAAATATATTGATATTAGTCGAGCAACTGGCTCGATCACGTAACCCTGATCTCTTGATGATATCTATGTTGCTTCTACGAAGAAGATTCCTCTCACCTTTCTAGATGCTCAAAACAGTTGGTGTATTTTAGGAAGATCAGGAGATTAATGATGCCTATAAATGCAAGGTAGGCCAAGTAATCGAAGAAGAAATTTCCGAGAAATCCATAACGGACTGCAGAGTTAACCGGGGTTATGACTATCTCTATCCGGTTAGCTCATCGACTCCTGAACCAGGGACTTTTGAGAAAATCTAAAAGCCTAAGATTTGAAAAAAATGAAAAATGGCGGTTCTTTTAATATTATTTATCTATGGATTTGTGTTTGCCGCCTACGTAAAACGATTTGAAACAAATATTTTAATAGATCAATTCGTGTATTCAATATTATTGCATCTGCTTAGAAAATAACCCCAAAATTATTAAAAAAAATATCCAAGTTGAACGTTTTTTTAAGTAAAGGCAAGATCAAAGATTTCTGAGCAAACACGTTTACAGGCCTATTCTGTCGAGATAACAAAATTTAACTAGGTATTAAAATTTACCATACAATAAATTTTGTTACCATTTCGTATTCTGAGCTCACTGTTACCCTGTAAATTTTGTTACCATTTCGTATTCTGAGCTCACTGTTACCCTGTAAATTTTGTTACCACCGAAATAGGAGGTAACAAAAATATCTGCTGTTTGATTTTGTGTTGTAAGTTTGAGAAAAAATAAAAAACCAAAATGGGCAGGCACATTTTAGGCCTGGAACTCATTGAAGATGAAGAAAAAAGTGCAAAAAGCCGTATTTTAAGGAGTTTTCGAAACTAAAAATAGCCCTTTAATTTGTAAGATAACGTTTTCATTTAGCTTTTTTAGTTCTGCAGGTATATTTTCTATAATTAGGTTCAAATATTTATGATTTAATTAACAAATTAATAAAACTTTTTAATTTTTTTGTGCACCCTCTTCCATTTCGATGTGAATATTTTTCTTTTTACTTTATCAACTGGCAAATGTAATTTGACATGGACGAAAAAAGCAGTGCTGCCAAATTTTTTTCAAACATTGTAACCAGTTCGACAGAATACCAAATTCAATTTCGGGTGTTAAAGAAAAGTAACAAAATTTACTTTACCGGTAACAGTGAGAATAGGCCTGTTAGTGTCAAAAATTTCGAATTGAAACTACCTTATAGAAGAATGCATACTATTGGTTTTTGAGGCTACTTTTTATAGCAAATTTTAAAATATTTTGCAGTTTTAAGTTTCTCTCTGAAGGTTTTTCAACGTTTCTTAAACTTCATCATACATTTGATAGTAGATCTAAACTAATCCATAAATATGCGTCTATACAAAAAATCGCTTTCATATAATTATTATCGTAACAATCATATTTTTTTATTATAAATTTATTTTTTAATGTTTTTTAGTTAAACTTAAAAATATTTAAACTAAGCTCTTTGATATTTGCACTACATAATTACTATGTAAATATGTATGTAATTCTTTACAAATCAAAATTTATTATTATTTTAATATTTATAATTTTCACTGATTAATTACATACATACGTGTACGTAAAGTATTTAAATAATTATTGAAACAAAGAAGGCACATATTTGTTAATTTACTATAAATAAATAAATGAGTGCAATAGAAGTTAGATAGTTTTTTTTTTTTAATTCAAAAATATACTGTTATTGTTCTTTTAAATCAGTCATTGCTCATGTGCTAATCATACTTGTTTGTTTGAAAGTATGTATGTATGTATGTATGTATGTATTTTCTTATACAAATAACATAGTCTATATAGAAATCATAATACAATAGCTAGTTCTATATTACAGCTATTTCTAGTGATGCGCTGTAATTATGAAAGCATAAAGGATGGGATGAAAGCTTTTCAAAAATCTTACTTTCATTATTTCTCACATTTTTACAATAATTATTTACTGCATTATTATTGTTTTTTGTTTTTTTATTTTTGTTGTTGAAAGATATGAGAATAAGGAAGGAATATAAGAAAGCGTTTTAGAGCTTGCTATAGTCGAATTCCCGTTGAGTTTTTGAAATTTTTGTAATAAAATAAGTAAATAATAAATAAATAAAATAGTTGGTAATTTTTTTTTTTATAAAGTTTTGGCATTCATTGCGAAGAGACTATAAAGTAAACTCAATACAACTTAACTAAGCTTTTCTGTAATTTAATTTAGCTTTCAACTCATATATTTATGAGCAGTTTTCCAGTTTATTTTCGTTTTCGAAATAATATTGATTTTTTGGCTGAGTTTTTTTTTTTTTAATTCTATACCATTTTACGACTTATCTTTTCATCAATCAAATTTTTTTCAAATTTAACAGTAAATTAATAGTAAATTAAAAAGCTAATCGCTAATTTGATTAAGCACATAAAAGTTTCTTATTTTACATGCCTAATTGTTGTCGAAATCCAATTTTATTTTACGATAGGCAACTTTTCAGAACTGTTTTAAAACTTCTTTGTAAGCTTTGAAGCTTTAAGCGATTTACAATCGCTTTCAAAACAGTTTTCGCAATAATCTCCTAAAGCTTACGCAAACTTTTCAAAGTTTTTCTCCGAGAAACTATTGTAGTTTCATTTATCATCTAAATATACACATCACTTTCATGAATTTATGCTATAGAGCTTTTGAATTTTTTTTTATTTTGAACAAATGCATCGATTTTAAATTCTTTTATATTGTTTTTCTAATATTCAATATATTATTTTATACCATTTTTAATAAATAATATTTTTGAAAAGCTTTCAAAAGCTTTAATTCAAACTTAATGTTTCTCAGCGAATCACATTGCGAAAACTTATTTTTCGGTCATTCTGGAAGAAACAAGTAGTCGGAGCTAGAAATTATAACAAATTTATTATAGCGTTTGGCTTTTTATAAGTTTTAACCTATAAAATTTGTACAGTCCAAAATTTTTTTCAATTATTTGCCTTACTTCATTACGTTTTATCAATGCCCCCGCAACTTGGTGTATAGCTTACTGACGACTCAATACGAGCGTTTATGTTTGTCATAGCATTATTGACCTAAAACTTATTCCTAATTCGATTTGTGCACTCCTGCAATTTCTTATCGCCACTAGTCCTTGAGGACGCCGACGACGAGGCCGTGTGCGTGCTGCTGTTCCGATTCCGTTTCGAGTAATAGCAGAAGATACAAAAACCATTCTGCGGTGTTGTACATCAAATATTTGTGGGGCTACGCGATGCGGACGAGGTGCGATAACGGGAGTTTGATCTGTAAATTAAAAAAAAATGTAATAATAATAACAACTATAAGTCATACCAAACATATTGCTAACTCTGTACCTCGAAATGCCCGATGTGTAATCGCGTACTGGTGTACGCGCCTCGCGTCTAAAGCTACCCACACCCACGCCAGTCGTCGCCGCTGCTGAGCCTGACGTAATAGATGTGGTCGGATCCAAAAGTGACATCGTGCGATGATCATAGGCGCGTATAGGTCGACGACCCACTGTCGCATAGCCATCCAATGTGGAATTGGTAAGCGTAGCACCACTCGGTAGTGTGCCATTGAATGTATATGAGGAACGTCTTTTCGGGCTATAGGTGTTATAGTAGCTACCACCTGGTGTCACACCACTTGCACTCGCGCCCAAACTCAAGCCACTAGTAGCCGAGGAGCCTTTGCTTTCATACGGACTGGAACTGGCTGATGATTTGTAGCGAATGGGCACACCGCTACTTAGTGTTACATAGTCGGTGTCTGCTGTGGAGCCGTAGCGTTTGCTTATCAATGATGGCGAGGTGGTTGGTCGTATATCGCTTAGGCTCTTTCGCGGTTTCGTAATGTTGGTGGCGTAATCGAGTGGCGCTTTATAAATGGGTGGTTTCAATTCGGTGCCGACGGGACTCAGTTTTAGTGGTCGGAAGAATTCTTGCGTAATATCTGGCGATTTGGCACGTTCATTGGGATTTAGTTTGTTGCTGGAGCGCGCTTTCAAGGCTGCCTGTTGTTCACGATAATAGTCGCGTACTGCACTGGGTCCCACAATACTACTCGTACGTTTGGGTTTTTTATCGTTGAAACGACAATAGAAACTACGACGCTTGATACGATCTATTACGCTTTCATTAGGATCAGAGCTTTCACCACGCGTAGGCGAGGAGAGCTGTGATGCCCGTGAGAGTCGCGAAACAGTTGGAGATGGCGATGCATGCAACATGTAGTTGTCTTCCGAGCACACAGACCAATTATCGAAGTAAAGCTCTGGCTCTTCGGTTGGCGAAAGGAACGTCGAAGTGGATGCACAGTCGTCCTGATAGCTACGAGAGTCGGAAGAATAATTTGCAATGTTCTCAGTGGATGGTGTTAGTAGATGATTGCGATTTATTTCGTGTGTCGACGATGTGCGATAACCCGATGTCTGCGAGGTTTGTATCGATGAGTTGTTATTGGTCATATATGAATTGTTATTATTAGTAGCATTATCCATCGACTGCTGGCTGGAACTGTTATTCGAAGAACTATTCACCGCGCCAGGGTATGGTGGCAGATTCGAGTAAATACCGTTACCATTGATATACGCAGCCTTCATAGTGTTGCGGTTTGTTGCAGTGTTATTATCGATTTTGTCCAATTTTGTAAGATCCAAAATCAAACCCTTGCGCTTATCTTTATTGCCCGGTGTGATTTCATTGTGACTTGCCATAACGGCCTCTTTCTCGTCACGACTCTTGGATTTGAAGCTTGCCACGGCATCTTGCAGACAATCAACACATTGCTTATCTTCCGCATTTAGCCTTGGTGTCACGGGCGCTATATCGCAACTACATTTGGCAGTGATTTCGAGTTTACGTACGGCAGTCGGTCCTAAATTTGTAGCTAACGCTGCGGATATGCTATTGGAACGTTGGCATTCAGCTGTGTTCTGATAAATGGGAGAGGGTGAATCTTCACGTATCTGACGTTCAATATTGCTAGTGGAACGTGTGCTTTGTATTCTCGTCACCTCTTTGTCGTTGCGTTTGAAGAGGCCAAGAACCCGATTGACGGCATTTTTATTGAATGTGCCTGGCATTTCCTCGACACTCACTGCCCTTTTAATGTAATTGGTTTCAGTGACCGGTCGAGATCGTGGTACCGAACGCTCACGTAGCGAACGAATCACAGCATCAATGCGTGAGCGTTTGTCCGATTTTGCTGGCTTCTCTTTGATATCATTGTTTTCGCCCAGTGGCTTTGGCGATGTATCGCTGTCCGTGATCGTCTTCGTAATAGTGCCATCCAAAGATTTCTTCTTCTTAAGTAGTGCAGATTTCTCTTTGATTTTCTCGGGCGACAAACTCTCTGGCGATTTTTTCTTAACTACACCCCCATTCGCTGAAGACGCAGGGCTCGAGGTGACGCTCTTTTTCTCTTTACTCATCGCAGAGTCGCGCAATTTTTCAAATTTCTGACCAATTGCATAAAGTAGCCCTTTACTCGGCTTCTTTTCGGGCGATTTTTCCTTTACATTCGGACTTGATTCCTTTGAGTTCTCTGCTGGTGTGGTCGTAGTGGAGGTTGTTGCTGGCGTCGGCGTCGTCGGCGTGAGTGGCAGTGGTTGAGCAAGTTTGGATTTTTTCGAAACCTTAATAACTTTCTTAATTGTCGTGGGTTTTGTGTCACTCGAAGAGGACGTCTCGACACAGCCCTTTGGGGGTGGCAACTGTGCTTCAAATTTCTCTTCAACCGCTAGTGGTGGCGTGGCATTTTTTACTTTGCCCTCGGCTATAGTTGGTATGGCTGCGCCACTACGCGTTACCCTTTTGGAATCTTTTGGTGGTGTAAGCTTCGATGCTGGATAACTTTTGGGCCTTACTAAACGACTCTCGCGTCCACATGCAACAGCAGATGTTTCGGAGGTGGCTTGCGCTATATCCGGCACTATTTCTGGTATTACTTTTGGTTTAGCGGACAGCTTTGGTGTCAAAACACCCATTTCTGTCTTCATGGGGTTGGTGGGCTCTTTGGTTGGATATGACTTGGGACGTTTTAGTTTGGACTCTCTCTTGGACTGCTCCATTTCTAAGGGTGTGAGTGGACTATTTTCTGTCCCATTAGGGCTGCCATCACTAAGTGTCGTCTTCATAGTTTCAGTCTTTTTCACAATCTTTTTGACTTTCTTCACCACAGATGCAGTTATAGTAGCATCGGCGTCGGTGCTGGATTCTGTTGTATTGGACTTTTCTTTAGGTTTAATCCTTTTAATTTTCTTAATTGTTGAAAAGGTTTCCTTCTCATCAATTTCGGCACGACTACTAGGGCCCTCTACAACTGACTTTGTTGTTGTCTCCAAAGAACGTTCTACAGAAATTTCCCTGGGCACAGCTGATCTTTGCAATATAAGCTGCTGTTGCTCTAGGTCTTGCTGAGTTCGCGTCGCTGAGAGTAATTGTAGCTCTTCCAAAATTTTATCGGCCAACTCATTCTTACGTAACTCTTCACTTAACTCACGCGGGCGGGACAAACTACGTCTATTGTGTCTAATAGTCTCCTGAGACGAACTACTCGCCGGCTGATATTCTAAACAAAGCTCTATGCTCTTATTACGCACATGCTTTGGCTCCATCTTTTGTGCTATTACCGTGCTCTCTGCATTCGGTAAACTATGCTTGCGAGTTACAGCTTCCTCGGAATTGTAACTGCCGTAGTTGCAGCGCTCCCTACTCGGCTCGCGCGATTTTTCTCTTATCTCACGCAGCACACTTTGTGTCTCACGTTCACGTTGTTTCTTCTCGCGTTGAAATGGATTCTCGTCAAGTGGTTCATCAAAGAAATCGGGACGTAGAAAACGTGAAATACGTTTCTGCGAAGAACGTCTACGCAAGGAGCTACTGCCACCGTCTGCAGCTATAATAGGCGGTGACAGGCAACCACTTGGTGGACGTCCTTGCGCAGAAGCAGCTGCATCACGTTGCATGCTATACCCGCTATAACGTTTTTGCGGCGAAACCGATCCACTGTCGGTGGTGGAGTCCTTCGACGCCGGCTTATTAAGATATGGCGAATAGTATTTGTAACGGTCACTAATGTCGGTTGTATAAGCGGAGCATATGGATTTACTATAATCATCGCGACAAACACTACTGCTGCGACTCTTCGACACAGCATCGCTAACCGATGGTATACCCGATTCGTAATCGTAACGCGTACGGCTGAGGCTTCGCCGGTAAACCGGATCATAGTGACGACGCTCACCACCACTATCGCTGCTACGTTTGCTCGCCGCGCTGCTACTGGCCGTCTCTTCGGCCATATTTTCTTTGAGATCCACACTACCAGCGGCGGTGTGCAGCACACCACGTCCGCCGCTCTGACTGCGCTTGTATACCTTTACCGGCGCTGTTTGGGTACTACTTTGCATACTTAAAGTGCGTGATAGTTTACGTGCCTGGGTTGGTGGCAATTTAGCGAGTAGTTGCTCTTGGAAGCATTTTGGTAAGCCGGGTGTAATGCTGGATAGAGTCTCCAGGTCCTTTTTGCTCAAACGTAGACGTGAGAGATCCAAATCAGCCAAATCCAGCGGTTCGTCAGCGACACCAATGGGTGTTGCAGTTGTTGGGCCATCAACAGTGCTACTAGGCTCGGCTATAGTGGCCGGACGGCCAATACGTGTTGAAGTCTTTGTACCTGGAAAGTAATGAAAAACATTCAAGTGATAATAAGGCGCGATGGGCAGGCATCGGTAAGTTCTTGGCTTCAAAGTTCGTATATAAAATATATATTGAATTTCTTCGGTAGAAATGTGAAATTTTTCGAAAGGAAAATTTTTTGTAGGTACTTACCGTACACTCATGGGGGTGGTAGTAACACATTTGCTGCTCTCTTCTAATTCTTACATTTCTGTCTTGTCTTTATTAATATGCTAATATCACATTTACTCTCCATGAACCGTATCTACTAGTAAATATTAATATTTCCAAGTGATAACAGTTCTTCTTCAATAAAAATGGAAGACAACCCCATGGGGCTATTTAAGATGAAACAAGAAAGTATTTCATTCAATGGTTGAATTATTTTTGATTCTTATGTATCGAAACAATTCTTGTAGCAGACATTCAACGAACGCTTAACAATAAAGTTGCTCAACCGGAAACAAGTGAGCTCAAGAATACTCCATGATGAACACTTTGCAACAGCTTACGTCCTAGTGGTAGCCCCTCGTTCGATGATTTGAGGAGAGACTCTTTTTTTTCGGGAGTAGACCGATCTTATCTTTTATCTTTCATATGATTTTTGTACTCGACTGTACTAGGTACAGAGAGCATAATAGGTTTATTCAACTAACGGTTGTATGTAATGGCATAAAATAATCTAGACAGATATATTATAGTTACATCAAACTTTACGGAATGACAAGAGTAATTGGCTCTGACATGACTGTCTGTCCGTAAATTTGGTTCACCCATTCCTTGGGTCACAAGTGTGGAGTGAAATCGGACCAAGTTTACGGTGATTTCGAAAAGTACGAAAAACGCGATAATTCAGTAACTAAATTTGCAATTAAAGTCATATTTGTTAGGGACGTACACATTGAATTGAAAAATATGAGGGATGCGAAACATGTCGGGGCTGTGTGCACCGCCCACTTTTAATTCAAAAATATTTCCATAAATTTTTTTTACCAATTTCTGTGACCGGAAACGGACAACGACTTGGCCTTTGTCCCCACATAATAGACCTTTTACATTCCATTTGACTCAAGATTGAATTTTTATGGAATTAAGCAACAAAACTCAGCCCAACAATATTTGGTACGCTACTTTTAAAGGGGACTTTAGTTCTGGCTGACATAGATCCAGAAAACGACTTTTCTCCCATGTGACAAGATAAGCTTTGTCCAATGTTTTGATCAATCTGTAGACTAAGAATCGAATAATTAAAAAAAAAAAACATTGTTGAGAAAACTTGATCTAACTGAATAAATACGATAGTTGCTGTGATTTTCAAATATCTGATCCATAAACAGGCTGAACTCCCGAATATTTGTACTTTGGCCATATCGAGAAAATCAGATAAGCCGCTTGTCGTTTAATATAAATAACAACCTAACACCTAATGCTCGATTTCACCCTCTGTTCATACTCGTTAACTTATAAACTTTGCAATCGAAGCATCTGAATATGTCTAATTAAGTAACCATTCGTCGCAAACAAGAGAACCGATATACCCAGGTAGCTTGTAATAGTAATAATTATTAACCCTTTATAGCCGCTAAAGAAATAATGGGCCGAGAACTTCCTCTAATTTGTGGTGTGTGTCTTAATGTTTTTCCAACAAATTCACTAAATTTGATTCTCTCTAAATGTTAGCCTGATGAGGACTTGAACTGGACGCATCGCTAACCCCTTGGCTATCACGGCCTACATTCATATAGAACGAATAAATGGCATAGTAAATTTTGACCTTTTGGTAGTCGACTGCAGCCTCTGCAGGCGACAAAGACAACGAACTGCCTTATATACATATATAATTGGCGCTTTGTAACCGCTGAAGCGATTTTCGGCCGAGCTCCTCCTACAATTTGTGGTATGGTGTCTATTTATACGAAGTTGCCTCCGAACGACTGATGGTTTTTTTTTTATGAGGAGCTTTTTTTCATGTCAGAAATATACTCGGAGGGTAGTACATTCCCTGCCGAGGGGCGATCGCAGTTAGAAAATTTAACTTTATTTTCTTGAACTATTGGATTTTGGTCGCGCCAGGATTTGAGCCCGGGCCTTCCGAATCTCAAACTTAAAAAGACAAATATGAATATGATCTCTGACCCTCAAATGGCGGGTATCCTAGCCTCCTCCTCTCGTGTGGCTTCAAAGACAAAATGGCATCTATTCGTTAGCCCAAGCGAAATTTTTACATTCATTGCTATCTTTCAGCGAGCTGCAGATAATATATTTGTACCTTAAGATCCTTTGAAGTTTTTAGCGCTACTATAAATGACTTTTAATTAAAATTAGAATTGATTAACTGAGTGAATCGTAAAATATAAAAGGATTTCAGTAATAGCTTTATATATATTTTTTTAATGAAGACTTCAAGAACGCGTAAACGCTAAATAAATAATTGCATAATTTTTTTTATAGAATATTCTAGAACATTTTAATGCGAACTTACCTGTTTAAGAACCATATCAGATACATTTGTATATAATAACCACGCAGAATTCCTTTCTATGAACTATTGTAGTGCAATGCAACCAGAAGAAATTTCTTTCAAAACCAAAGTCATTATACTTAAAGAGCTCTTTTTCGGCATCATTGCTTTGCCCACACATTAACATTGAAATAAGTGCGCTTAAAACGAATATTCATACAATCATACATAAAAACATGTGTTAAGAGCAAAAAGCTGGCGCCAGCGGCTAAGGGTTTAGGGCCTGCAAACGCATGCTGGAGTTAAAGGATTTAAGGGATAAATAAATTAAATAATACAACAAAACAGTGCATAATCGAGCAAAAGGAAATACATACAAGGTTAAATAAAATTGTTAAAAAAAAAAAAATATAAAATAATAAATTACTTGGTTTTTCTTGATTTAATATTAGTTTTACAATTTTATTGTGTTTTTTTTTTGTTGTTTACAATCAATTTCACATACTAGTTATTTATGCATATAAAAATAATTAATGAATTTATGTATTTGTTATGTCTTTTGTTTTATATTTAAAAGAAAAAATATTGCTCTTCGTTTTCGATAATAAAAAAAAAATACAAAAAAAAAACTATGAATTAATAAAAAAAAAATTAATTAATTTAAAAAACCAAAAAAATTACAAAATATATAAGGAAGCAAAATCTTTTTTTTGCATTTTCCATTAGTCATCTTTTTGCTGCATTGGCGTGGCATATGTGTGTGTATGTTTGTCAATGTAGGCCACGGCATACTTGCTGCTTTCTTGTTTTGTTTTCTTGATGACATGAAGCTTGCTCAAAACTGCTTTGTCGATTTAATTCATTTTTTCTTTAATTTGTTTTGAAAAACTAAATGCTTACTATAATGATACATACATACATAAAAACAGGCAAATATTAGTACATATATGTACTTACACATGTAGACTACAAATATTTTTAGCAAAATAATTAATTAATTATAAGTAAAATATATTATTGGGAATATTGTTATAAAATATCTATGTTGTAGTATGTATATGTATTGTACTATATATACATACGAAAAATATTATAAAAAAAATTTCAAAACATTATGTAAATAATTAGCTGTTGTATTTTGTCTGCATCTTTGTTTTTATATAAATAGATATGTTAATACATTTGCATTGCTTTCAAATATTAACTGCAAAAAGAAAAAAATAATAATAGGGAAATTAATATGAAGCATATAAATATAACGGGTATTTCAAGAAAAAATCAATTTTTTATTTGGCTATAAATATTAAACTGTAACAAATCCAATAATTTCTACAAAACGTAAAATCACTCAATGACCTATGCATGGATTTTATAGTGTTGGACTCGGAGCGAAAGTTGTTGATTTTGGCGGAATTTTTTACACATCTTTATAAAATTTTCCTAGCTAAATTGCATTTGACTTTTTTAACCATTTTAATTTCGAGAAAACAGTGTTTGCGTTTTAAAATTAAATACAGGGATATAAAAATGTAAAATAAAATAAAAATAGTGACTTTGGTGTGTTTTTAGTAAGCAAACAAAGATATGAAAACGTAAAAAATATTTCCAAATTCAAATAAAATTATTACTGAGTTTCATATTAATTAGAAAGTTTCAATCAATTCGGTTGAAGTACTTGTAAGTGTTATCGTTTAAGCAGATATCTAAATAAATTTTATTTCGTTTTTCCACGAAGCGTCAATGTTGAATCGTCAACAGATAATGTTAAGCGGTAAAATTGAAAGCTGCTGTAAATAACTTAGCAGCCAGCGACTGGAAAATTCACATCAACGATGAGTTTGTACGCCTCAACATTAACATTTTCAAAATATGTTATTTTGATATATATTTTTTTTTTTGAAAAACTTAACATGGAACACCCTGAAGCCGAGATGCTCAATTAACACAATGATGCCATTTCGTTATGTTAATATGAAAAATAAACTTATTGAAATGATAATATTTAATTTCGGAAACGAAATTAAATTGTTATTGTTGAAACTGAACAAATTCAACGATAACGTTATTTTCAAATGGCTGCTTGCTGTAATATTAGCAGCACACTTCAATATAAACGCTTAACATTATCTGTTAACGATTTAACATTTTCTGTTAACGATTAAACACTTTCTGTTAACGACTTAACATTAACTACTTAACATTAACGACAATACTTCGCTTCGAGTAAAAAAGCGAAATAAAATTTATTTTGATGACAGCTTTAACGATACTTTCGATTGAAATTCTTTGATTAATGTAAAATTTATTGTTATGATGCAGCATTGCACTGATTGTGCGGTAAGGCCGGATACAAGTTTCTGTTAAAAATATTTGTTTGAATTTACCTACACTTGTTGCTTCATAATTATATATGAAGCAGCCAAAAAGTTACTTCTTTGAATTTCTCATGACATTAAAAGTTCACTGGCTAATAAAAATTTGTATTATTTTATAATAATAAAGAAAAAAGGGGTATGTACATATGTATGTAAATACAT